GTAACCCTCTATATGTATCAATAGTTACACACGGATAGTCGACAACTGTATATGTATCTCCCTGTGTAACCCTCTACATGTATCAATAGTCACACACGGATAGTGGACAACTGTATATGTATCTCCCTGTGTAACCCTCTATATGTATCAATAGTTACACACGGATAGTGGACAACTGTATATGTATCTCCCTGTGTAACTCTCTATATGTATCAATAGTTACACACGGATAGTAGACAACTGTATATGTATCTCCCTGTGTAACCCTCTATATGTATCAATAGCTACACACGGATAGTCGACAACTGTATATGTATCTCCCTGTGTAACCCTCTACATGTATCAATAGTTACACACGGATAGTCGACAACTGTATATGTATCTCCCTGTGTAACCCTCTATATGTATCAATAGTTACACACGGATAGTGGACAACTGTATATGTATCTCCCTGTGTAACCCTCTATATGTATCAATAGTTACACACGGATAGTGGACAACTGTATATGTATCTCCCTGTGTAACCCTCTATATGTATCAATAGTTACACACGGATAGTGGACAACTGTATATGTATCTCCCTGTGTAAGCCTCTATATGTATCAATAGTTACACACGGATAGTGGACAACTGTATATGTATCTCCCTGTGTAACCCTCTACATGTATCAATAGTCACACACTGATAGTGGACAATTGTATATGTATCTCCCTGTGTAACCCTGTGTATGTATCAATAGTTACACACGGATAGTCGACAACTGTATATGTATCTCCCTGTGTAACCCTCTATATGTATCAATAGTCACACACGGATAGTCGACAACTGTATATGTATCTCCCTGTGTAACCCTCTATATGTATCAATAGTTACACACGGATAGTCGACAACTGTATATGTATCTCCCTGTGTAACCCTCTTTATGTATCAATAGTTACACACGGATAGTCGACAACTGTATATGTATCTCCCTATGTAACCCTCTATATGTATCAATAGTTACACACGGATAGTCGACAACTGTATATGTATCACCCTGTGTAACACTCTATGTGTAGCAATAGTTACACACGGATAGTGGACAACTGTATATGTATGTCCCTGAGAAACCCTCTACATGTATCAATAGTCACACACGAATAGTCGACAGCTGTATATGTATCTCCCTGTGTAACCCTCTATATGTATCAATAGTTACACACGGATAGTGGACAACTGTATATGTATCTCCCTGTGTAACCCTCTACATGTGTCAATAGTCACACACGGATAGTGGACAACTGTATATGTATCTCCCTGTGTAACCCTCTATATGTATCAATAGTTACACACGGATAGTCGACAACTGTATATGTATCTCCCTGTGTAACCCTCTACATGCATCAATAGTTACACACGGATAGTCGACAACTGTATATGTATCTCCCTGTGTAACCCTCTATATGTATCAATAGTTACACACGGATAGTCGACAACTGTATATGTATCTCCCTGTGTAACCCTCTATATGTATCAATAGTTACACACGGATAGTCGACAACTGTATATGTATCTCCCTGTGTAACCCTCTATATGTATCAATAGTTACACACGGATAGTCGACAACTGTATATGTATCTCCCTGTGTAACCCTCTACATGTTTCCCGAACGGAACCTTCAGCGAAGACATAAATTATCACATTCATTATGAAAACTAAACATGGACATATTGGATGGGTATATTGTAAAGATACACTGCACAGATACATTGTAAGGACACACTGTAAAGATGACATGTAAAGATATATTGTTAGGGTTTGCTGGTATCATGCGCTATTGGGATACACTATAAGAATGCACAGTGATGATATCCTGGATGGATACACTGTAAAGATTATAACGCTATAAGAATGCTCAGTGATGATATCCTGGATGGACACACTGTAAAGATACGCCATAAGAATGCACAATGATGATATCACGGATGGATACACTTTAAAGATACGCTATAAGAATGCTCAGTGAATACTCTGCCTGAAGCGCTCATCACCGTGTATTCTTATAGTGTATCTTTACAGTGTATCCATCAGGATATCATCATATACACGATGATGATATCCTGGATGTGTAGTGTTCCTCTGTCCTAGTGTGGTAAGGGGTCTACCCGGTCCACCCCCCTGGGACCGCTCGGTAGGGGATGACACAAGTGCATGGCACAGAATCTACCGGCACCTGACACCATAACGACCTCTGTTCCACACAAAACCGGGTATTTGTGAAATCTTATATCTACTACTGAGAACAGCATATTTCTGTGTAAGGCTGCGATTGCAAGAACTAATACAATACCGACATACTCGCCCGGAGTACAACAATCGGTTATATTGTTTCACACCGTGATGCTGCAGTTATACAATTGTACTCACTTTCCCATTGCACGGGACATTCAATCATTAAGCATTTCTTAAACTCGCCAGTTTATTTTCATCTGTAATCTTGAACCTAAGTCTTGAACCCAATGGAAATCACAGTCCGCTATTACTGACACCTAATGTCCCACACTGTAAAACTATATGTCCCACACATGACCAGCGACACAATTGCCATCAGCTGTTCATGAGGAAGCACATCGACAGCGCCATTTATTGAGCTAATGTTGTACGATACAACCAGCATCACACTGGCATGATACTAACGACAAAATTAGCGTCACACTAAATACTTAAGCTGTACGATATAATTAGCGTCACACTAGATTCTATTGTTGTACGGTATAATTAGCGTCACACTAGATTCTAAGGTTGTACAATATAATTAGCGTCACACTAGATTCTAAGGTTGTACAATATAATTAACGTCACACTAGATTCTAAGGTTGTACAATATAATTAGCATCACTCTAGGTACTAATGTACTTCAATTTAATCAGTATCACACGGGATACTTATGTTGTACAATGTAATCAGTATCACACGGGATACTAATGTTGTACAATGTAATCAGTATCACACGGGATACTAATGTTGTGCAATGTAATCAGTATCACACGGGATACTAATGTTGTACAATGTAATCAGTATCACGGGGGATACTAATGTTGTACAATGTAATCAGTATCACACGGGATACTAATGTTGTACAATGTAATCAGTATCACACGGGATACTAATGTTGTACAATGTAATCAGTATCACACGGGATACTAATGTTGTACAATGTAATCAGTATCACACGGGATACTAATGTTGTACAATGTAATAGTATCACGGGATACTAATCACAATGTAATATCACACGGGATACTAATGTTGTGCAATGTAATCAGTATCACACGGGATACTAATGTTGTACAATGTAATCAGTATCACACGGGATACTAATGTTGTACAATGTAATCAGTATCACACGGGATACTAATGTTGTACAATGTAATCAGTATCACACGGGATACTAATGTTGTACAATGTAATCAGTATCACACGGGATACTAATGTTGTACAATGTAATCAGTATCACACGGAATACTAATGTTGTACAATGTAATCAGTATCACACGGGATACTAATGTTGTACAATGTAATCAGTATCACACGGGATACTAATGTTGTACAATGTAATCAGTATCACACGGGATACTAATCAGTAATCAGTATCACACGGATACTAATGTTGTACAATGTAATCAGTATCACGGGATACTAATGTTGTACAATGTAATCAGTATCACACGGGATACTAATGTTGTACAATGTAATCAGTATCACACGGGATACTAATGTTGTACAATGTAATCAGTATCACACGGGATACTAATGTTGTACAATGTAATCAGTATCACACGGGATACTAATGTTGTACAATGTAACCAGTATCACACGGTAATGTTAATCAATGTAATCAGTATCACACGGGATACTAATGTTGTACAATGTAATCAGTATCACACGGGATACTAATGTTGTACAATGTAATCAGTATCACACGGGATACTAATGTTGTACAATGTAATGTCAGTATCACACGGATACTAATGTTGTACAATGTAATCAGTATCACACGGGATACTAATGTTGTACAATGTAATCAGTATCACACGGAATACTAATGTTGTACAATGTAATCAGTATCACACGGGATACTAATGTTGTTGTACAATGTAATCAGTATCACACGGGATACTAATGTTGTACAATGTACGGGATAAATCAATCACGGAATACTATAATACAGTAATGTTGTACAATGTAATCAGTCACACGGGATACTAATGTTGTACAATGTAATCAGTATCACACGGGATACTAATGTTGTACAATGTAATCAGTATCACGGGATACTAATGTTGTACAATGTAATCAGTATCACACGGGATACTAATGTTGTACAATGTAATCAGTATCACACGGGATACTAATGTTGTACAATGTAATCAGTATCACACGGGATACTAATGTTGTACAATGTAATCAGTATCACACGGGATACTAATGTTGTACAATGTAATCAGTATCACGGGATACTAATGTTGTACAATGTAATCAGTATCACACGGGATACTAATGTTGTACAATGTAATCAGTATCACACGGGATACTAATGTTGTACAATGTAATCAGTATCACACACTAATGGATGCTAATGTTGTACAATGTAATCAGTATCACACGGGATACTAATGTTGTACAATGTAATCAGTATCACACGGGATACTAATGTTGTACAATGTAATCAGTATCACACGGGATACTAATGTTGTACAATGTAATCAGTATCACACGGGATACTAATGTTGTACAATGTAATCAGTATCACACGGGATACTTATGTTGTACAATGTAATCAGTATCACACGGGATACTAATGTTGTACAATGTAATCAGTATCACACGGGATACTAATGTTGTACAATGTAATCAACGACACACTGAAATTTCCTCAGAGGGACTTGGCGTAGCGTCTGAAACGTTAACATGGCGGTAAAAGGAATTCACTCACTCACTCCACTCTATGATTTCTTCAGCCTTCCCGGCTGCTCCGTCAGGTACGCGGCCGTGTTTTCTGGAACAGGGGTTGCGTCTGAAGCGTCCGTACGGTGGTGAAAGGAGCTAGAAAACAGTATAAGAATCTACACCCATACTGTGCAGTAAACAAGACGTTGTTATCCATGCAGTCGTATGCTTTATAACTGACTCACCAACTTCTAGAAAGCCGATCAAACAATTAACAAAGCTTCCGTTGAGTAAACGAAGCGCATCAGTCGACGTAACGTACCGAGGCCCTCGCTATACGTACAGCAACAGTGGTTAAAACTGAAGCAAACACGAAAATAACGCCATGGTGACTGTCTCGCGATCAAAGGGAGATCAGTAACAGAGTGTCAGAGGCGCTCATAATATCTCTACATGGCAAGTCTGGAGTATCTGCCCTTAACCAACTCCGTGGTGTAGTGGGCATGGCGTCTAGCTGGAGACCACCTCCGTGGTGTAGTGGACAAAAGCGACTGGCTGGAGACCACCTCCACGTGGTGTAGTGGACAGAGCGTCTAGATGGAGACCATCTCCGTGGTGTAGTGGACAGAGCGTCTAGATGGTGACAACCTCCGTGGTGTACTGGACAGAACGTCTGGTTTGGGACCACCTCCACGGTGTAGTGGACAGACCGTCTGGCTGGAGACCACCTCCGTTGTGTAGTGGACAGACAGAGCGTCTGGTTGGAAACCACCTCCGTGGTGTAGTGGACAGAGCGTCTGGCTGGAGACCACCTCCTAGGTGTAGTGGACAGACAGAGCGTCTGGTTGGAGACCACCTCAGTAGTGTAGTGGACAGAGCGACTAGATGGAGACCACCTCCGTGGTGTAGTGGACAGACCGTCTGGCTGGAGACAACCTCCGAGGTGTAGTGGACAGACAGAGCGTCTGGTTGGAGACCACCTCCGTGGTGTAGTGGACAGAGCGACTAGATGGTGACCACCTCCGTGGTATAGTCGACAGGCAGAGAGTCTGGTTGGAGACAACCTCCGTGGTGTAGTGGACAGACAGAGCGTCTGGCTGGAGACCACCTCCGTGGTGTAGTGGACAGACGGGTCTCTGGTTGGAGACCACCTCCGTGGTGTAGTGGACAGACAGAGTCTCTGGTTGGAGACCACCTCGGTGGTGTAGTGGACAGAGCGACTAGATGGAGACCACCTCCGTGGTGTAGTGGACAGACCGTCTGGCTGGAGACAACCTCCGAGGTATAGTGGACAGACAGAGCGTCTGGTTGGAGACCACCTCCGTGGTGTAGTGGACAGACAGAGCGTCTGGTTTGATACCACCTCCGTGGTGTAGTGGACAGAGCGACTAGATGGAGACCACCTCCGTGGTGTAGTGGACAGAGCGACTAGATGGAGACCACCTCCGTGGTGTAGTGGACAGAGCGACTAGATGGTGACCACCTCCGTGGTGTAGTGGACAGAGCGACTAGATGGTGACCACCTCCGTGGTGTAGTGGACAGAGCGTCTGGCTGGAGACCACCTCCGTGGTGTAGTGGACAGACAGAGCGTCTGGTTGGAGACAACCTCCGTGGTGTAGTGGGACAGAGTCTCTGGTTGGAGACCACCTCCGTGGTGTAGTGGACAGAGCGACTAGATGGAGACCACCTCCGTGGTGTAGTGGACAGACCGTCTGGCTGGAGACAACCTCCGTGGTGTAGTGGACAGAGCGTCTAGATGGTGACCACATCAGTGGTGTAGTGGACAGAGTGACTAGATGGAGACCACCTCCGTGATGTAGTGGACAGAGCGTCTGGCTGGAGACGACCTCCGTGGTGTAGTGGACAGACCACCTCCCGTGGTGTAGTGGACAGAGCGTCTAGAGAGCGTCTGGTGATGGAGACCACCTCCGTGGTGTAGTGGACAGAGCGTCTAGCTGGAGACCACCTCCGTGGTGTAGTGGACAGACACAGCGTCTGGTTGGAGACAACCTCCGTGGCGTAGTGAACAGAGCGTTTGGATGGTGACCACATCCGTGGTGTAGTGGACAGAGCGACTAGATGGAGACCACCTCCACGGTGTAGTGGACAGAGCGTCTAGATGGTGATCACCTCCGTGGTGTAGTGGACAGAGCGTCTGGTTGGAGACCACCTCCGTGGTGTAGTGGACAGAGCGTCTGGTTGGAGACCACCTCCGTGGTGTAGTGGACAGAGCGACTAGATGGAGCCTCCTCCGTCGTGTAGTGGACTGAGCATCTGCCTGGAGACCACCTCGGTGGTGTAGTGGACAGAGCGTCTGGCTGGAGACCACCTCCGTGGTGTAGTGGACAGAACGTCTAGCTGGTGACCATCTCCATGGTGTTGAGGACAGAGCGACTAGATGGTGACCACCTCCATGATGTAGTGGACAGTGCGGCTAGATGGTGTCCACCTTCGTGGTGTAGTGGACATAGCGTCTGGCTGGAGAGCATATCCGTGGTGTAGTGGACAGAGCGACTAGATGGTGGCCAGCTCCGTGTTGTAGTGGACAGAGCGACTAGATGGTGATCACCTCCGTGGTTTAGTTGAGATAGCGACTGGCTTGAGACCACCTCCGTGGTGTATTTAACAAAGCGTCTTTCACATGGGTACGTAACTACGTACGTACGCATTCCGTCGTGCACTCACGCACGCACGCACACCCGCACGCACGTACGTGCTAATGTATGTACAATGAACATTATTTAGGCACCACCTAAATAACTGGTGGAGCAATGGAGCGTACCAACAGAATGGGTCCCTTCTCCCACAGTGATGCACAGACAATGGAGAGTGGTAGTCCGAGTCTTCACCAGAATCAACAGAAGGAATCCCTTGCTTGCTGAGATGCGCAGACAGGAGCAGGATCCGTGAAATCCGTAATTTGAGGACATGGCGTAGAGTCCATTGGTTATTGAAAGTTGTACATATTACCGACGGTCGTTGTAACGTATGGAGAAGTCGAAGCACCAGATGACCCTAGCGGCTGTACTCTCAGATGGCGCCCATGTCCTGGTGTGGGGCTGCTGTTCAGGACCTGCATGATGTGACGCAGGACCTGCATGATGTGACGCAGGACCTGCAAGGTGTGACGCAGGACCTGCAGGATGTGACGCAGGACCTGCAGGAACCTGCTGGATGTGACGCAGGACCTGCATGATGTGACGCAGGACCTGCTGGATGTGACGCAGGACCTGCAGGATGTGACGCAGGACCTTCACGATGAATGGCCGAGGATTCTGATTCCACACTTGATTGCCAGTGTGAGGAGGAGACTGGCAGGTGTTATCCCTTGCGAGAGTTGGCTGCACCAGGTACTGATGGAGTCGCGGTGGTGTTCATACAACCAAACGATGATTACTTGAGAACTGTTTGACAATTAGTGGCGTAGTCATGGTGACCATAATCTCCAGCATTGTTGATTTTCACGTTTTTGTGTATCCCTCTCACGTTGAATGAAATTGTCACCAAATGGGAAATCCAGTGTTGTTTTTGGTTTAATCCGAGAAATATATGTTACAATTACCAACTGATTTTACAAAAACAAATATAAGAACATGGACTGCTTTTGTACCTGTCATATGTAAACAATTAGCTTTGCTTGAACAATGTTTCAATTCATCCTGATTTATGTATGAAGATTGGACGTAGTGAGGACATTCGGATGTTGGGGGAGATGTATTTGTGTCTACTGTCCTCGAGTTGTTGTGCTCCTGGCAGCCATCAAAGACTCTATGGCACCGAAGATTATGTAGCAGAGCTTTTCTCTTCGTCAAACTATGCAGAGCAATTTTGTTTCATGAATGGCTGCTGTTAGGACACGACTCAAAGGAGCAGAGGGTCACAGTGAAGGATTCGACCCCACGATCGCCTGCCAGGCACACGACTTGGGCTGCATGATGGGATCGGGTACAGGTGTACCCTGATTTCGATATGAAGACAGGAGGTCGTCGTATGGATATCACGTGACATAAATAACAGTGTTGAACGAAGATACGTTACAATGTGAGATTACCCTGTCAGTAGTAGGTTCCAAACGTTGTTTATTGAGTTTAGTGTGGCTCATGTGGCAATCTCAGTGTGAGGAAAATCAATGCTGTACGGTGCACCAGCTATCTATTGTCACAGGAAACGTGGTATATTTGACGACATATAACACATGTACACATTCAATACAGAACCTTCTTTCAAGTCAAGGGCATATGTAAAAAATATCTTTTATGAAACTTTATTGAAATGGTGTAATTTGGGGGTTTTTTTTTGGTTTCTTTTCTCCCAACAAAACATAGGCTCCAGATCACAAAAACAACATTTGGGTCTGTATTGCAGCTCGCTGTTAATTTGTCTTCAATATAGAGAGTTACTGTACAATGATGTTCTGTATTGCTTCCCTTTCCCGTGCCTGTCGTACACAAAGTCCGCAGTCCTGACTACCAGTTGTCCAACTTCCATTTTTGTGGAAGCCGCGGTGGCTAAGCGGTCTAGGCGTCTGACTTTGTGTGCTGGCGATTAGGTGCCTGTCTCTGAGGGTGTGGGTTCTAATCCCGGACGGGACTCAACCCAAAGTCCTAGAATCTGTACTTTACTAAGAAAGTGTAATCCCAAATATAACATAAGAGTATACATATGGGATGTAGTTGCTGTATAAGTCTATTGCTGAACAATGTCCACATGTTGTTAGACACTAGCGTGTCATATCTGACACCAAGCACAGTGTCCAATGGATATAAGATCAAGGTATGATAACACAAAATCCATTACAAAGTTGTTTTGGAGACTATTTTATTACAGGCAGGCTCCTGCCTCTCCTTGATAGCATACGCATTATAGGAATTATAGATAAAACATTGCGTAAACACTGACGAATCAACAGCCATATAACTAAACACTCTCGGGAAGACAAATGGTTTTGACGGGATGAAATATTCGCGACTGGATTATTCCCATAAGCTACAAAGACTTTATCAGCACTTTTAGTACAGGCAATGGATTTGATGTAACACAACTAGCTCTATACTGTTGATACTGAGACACACTGGAGGCTGCCTCCGTTGTCAAGGCTGCGGGGTCATGCTGCAGTATGATGAACATATCCAATATTTGTGTCACATAAACATAATCATCATAAGGATCGTGTACACAGTAAAACTTGTCTGACGTCGTCCCCATAGACTGTAACGTCACACCCTCTGACGTCGTCCCCATACAATGTAACGTCATATCCCTCTGACATCGTTCCCATAGACTGTAACGTCATACCCATCTGACGTCGTTCCAATAGACTGTGACGTCATACACCTCTGACGTCGTTCCCATAGACTGTAACGTCATACCATCTGACGTCGTACCCATACAATGTAACGTCATATCCCTCTGACGTCGTTCCCATACAATGTAACGTCATACCCATCTGACGTCGTCCCCATACAATGCAACTTCATACCCATCTGACGTCGTTCCCATAGACTGTGACGTCATACACCTCTGACGTAGTTCCCATAGACTGTAACGTCATACCATCTGACGTCGTACCCATACAATGTAACGTCATATCCCTCTGACGTCGTTCACGTAGACTGTAACGTCACACCCATCTGACGTCGTTCCCATAGACTGTAACGTCATACCCATTTGACGTCGTCCCCATACAATGTAACTTCATACCCATCTGACGTCGTTCCCATAGACTGTGACGTCATACACCTCTGACGTCGTTCCCATAGACTGTAATGTCATACCCATCTGACGTCGTCCCCATACAATGTAACGTCATACCCCTCTGACGTCGTTCCCATAGACTGTAACGTCAGACCCATGTGACGACGGTACGTATGGTCATCATGACATCCCCAAATGAAAGCTATCTGACAGACGTTATTTCTCGTTTCGTGAGTTTAGGCGATACTTATAACTGCGCACACATATCCACTTTAACGCTATATGGCTCCAAACAGTCTCCGAAACGCGACAACTGTAACCACGATACCAGTTTCACTCTACATCATCACTGCGTGACCAGTTCGTGTTTCAAATCAAACTTTGGTGTATACTTTCCTTGGCGTCCGCGGACTGTTAAAACGTTTATTGATCACAAAAAGTGTTTCGCACGTACCTATGTATTACACAACCGGCAGGAGATAAGCGTGTTTTTTACGTTACAGAGATTCCTCCACACAATATGTCAGCACCTAGCTACACAACATGCTGATACTCGCCCCCCTCTATGCAGCACTGCGTGGTAGCCGAGAGAAACTTGCTATCTTCCGTACTAACTGTGCATTATGGCCAAACAACAAGTGTTGGGTATTGCCACAATGTTCGTATTACGATATATTGTGGCATGTGTTGGCGTATTGCGATATATTGTGGCATGTGTTGGCGTATTGCGATATATTGTGACATGTGTTGGCGTATTGCGATATATTGTGGCATGTGTTGGCGTATTGCGATATATTGTGACATGTGTTGGCGTATTGCGATATATATTGTTGGATGTGTTGGCGTATTGCGATATATATGTGTGATGCGATATATTGGCGTATTGCGATATGTTGTTGGCGTATTGCGTATATTGGCGTATTGGCGATATATATTGTGATGTGTTGGCGTATTGCGATATATTGTGATGTGTTGGCGTATTGCGATATATTGTGGCATGTGTTGGCGTATTGCGATATATTGTGACATGTGTTGGCGTATTGCGATATATTGTGACATGTGTTGGCGTATTGCGATATATTGTGACATGTGTTGGCGTATTGCGATATATTGTGATGTGTTGGCGTATTGCGATATATTGTGACATGTGTATTATTGTGATGGTTGGCGTATTGCGATATATTGTGACATGTGTTGGCGTATTGCGATATATTGTGACATGTGTTGGCGTATTGCGATATATTGTGATGTGTTGGCGTATTGCGATATATATGTGTTGATATTGCGATATATTGTATGTTGGCGTATTGCGATATATTGTGATGTGTTGGCGTATTGCGATATATTGTGACATGTGTTGGCGTATTGCGATGTATATATTGCGATATTGTGACATGCGTATTGCGATATATATATTGTGATGTGTTGGCGTATTGCGATATATTGTGATTGCGATATATTGTGTGTTGGCGTATTGCGATATATTGTGATGTGTTGGCGTATTGCGATATATTGTGATGTGTTGGCGTATTGCGATATATTGTGACATGTGTTGGCGTATTGCGATATATTGTGACATGTGTTGGCGTATTGCGATATATTGTGACATGTGTTGGCGTATTGCGATATATTGTGATGTGTTGGCGTATTGCGATAGATGAAATATTGCGATATATTGTGATGTGTTGGCGTATTGCGATAGATTGTGATGTGTTGGCGTATTGCGATAAATTGTGATGTGTTGGCGTATTGCGATATATTGTGATGTGTTGGCGTATTGCGATATATTGTGATGTGTTGGCGTATTGCAATATGCATTGCAACATATTGTGAAAGTGTAACACATGGTTTAGCTCTTTCAACACCAGTCAACCAGAAACTTTTACTGCCGTGACACCGAGTTCCCACGGGTCATAGATGAAGCGTATGTTTATCAAGGAAACTTTCAGCTTGTAAAACATGATAGCCACTGCAGAAGTGTCAGAAGGGTTTTCGCAGTTTACTGGTTTAAGATTGGTTTCTTAAGGCGATAAGGATCGTTATTGGTAAAAATCATGCACGTCACCCGAGGCAACCAATCATATTACAGCAATGGATACCGTCCTCATACACGAAAACTTTTAGATTTGGACGAACGTTCTGTATAAACGTGTTGCGCTCAAAATCCCCACCTATAAGTACATCATGGAACTTGGTGGACGTATCGTGCTAGATTAACATTAGACATCGTGTCCGAGCGTTCGAAGCGACGAAAGCCGAGATGTCACTTGCCTTACATTACATGATCGCACACAAAAAGATGGAAATAGTAACTTATAATGTACGTTTGACAACTTTTATGAGTACTGCTGATGATATTATTCTTTAGTTTATTCAATGTGTTTAATTTTTTCCTCGAAACGGCGTTACTTTGCTCTTTGACAACTTTGATGTGGATCCATTGCCGAAGCATGTGTCCGAGAATCGGGGTTTTTTTTCAATAACATTGCGAAAAATAGTTTATAATTCTAATTCCGTCGATAATATATGTTCATTTGAAATGTTATAAGTGTTTTCAGACATTGTGAAAAGTGATAGTTTTGATAAATGAATCATATGTTAGGCAGGTTCCTAAACTTATATATCATTGTAAACCAAAATTCACTGTGTTCTTTAATCTGATTGGTTGAAAAACATGATCAAATGGTATTCGATTCCCGGAAATTCGTTGCGTATTAATACATACAAACATCGCTCACACCATTGTATTGTTACGTCGTCAGCTGTGATGACGTCATTCAAATCATATTGTGACGTGAAGTCCGAATGACGTCACAAATGAGCAGTTCCAGATGCTACCATGAGAGACAGCCGAAACAGCCGGCTGATGAAATTACACTGCTGTACCCGTATACTATGTCAATGAGTGCAGACACCAAAACGTGTGTGGACCTTTTGGTTTACTTTTGTGTTTACAATGTCGATAAACATCATGTGTTGGCCAATTTCCGGGTGTTATTGAGTATTTGAAGCACGGGAATATTCCATTTGAAACCTCCCGCTGACGCCGTCGGTTCCAAATGAATTCCCGTGCTTCAAATACTCAATAAATTGGCCAACACATGATGTTTATCTCCTAATTTTGATGCGCCTACTGCCAGGCCGGTTTACCGGCCTTTCTGTGTCTGGAGACTCGGGACATCGTTACCGATCATGGTCACGGAAATTGCCGATCGTATCGAATGAACCGGTTCGCGAAAAGTGTACCGCAACATGTCGTATTGCGAAGTTAGAATTGCAATATACCTGTTAACCGGTATTATCGCCCACTCCTACAAATAACGCCAAACACATATTTATACTGGCACCGAAGTTTTCCAACAAAACCACACTAACGTTGTCTGACACTTTAAGGCAGCGGTTCGTATGTAATTGTTGGTGATTCTCGAGATTATCACGTTGTATATACGACAGAAGTCGCTGATTCCAGGAAAACTACGTTTCTTGCGCATATTCTCTGATTGTATTACAAAATGAAAGGAAAGAATATTGGGCAAAAATATTGATTATTTCCTGGACGACTGTAACATTCAGGTGAGCTACGATAGCTCTGTTTGTCCAACGAAAGGTGATCTTCAATGTCAGGAGTCTCTGTTTGTCCAACTGAAGGTGAGCTACAATGTCAGGAGTCTCTGTCCCGCGGAAAGTGAGCTACAATGTCAGGAGTCTCTGTTTGTCCAACTGAAGGTGAGCTACAATGTCAGGAGTCTCTGTCCAACTGAAGGTGGGCTACAATGTCAAGAGTCTCTGTCCCGCGGAAGGTGAGCTACGATATCAGGAGTCTCTGTCCAACTGAAGGTGAGCTACAATGTCAGGAGTCTCTGTTTGTCCCACGAACGGTAAGCTAGAACGTCAGGTGTCTCTGTCCCGCGGAAGGTGATCTTCAATGTCAGGGGTCTCTGTTTGTCCAACTGAAGGTGAGCTACGATATCAGGAGTCTCTGCCCAACGGAAGCTGAGCTACACTGTCAGGGGTCTCTGTTTGTCCCACGAAAGGTGAGCCATAAAAATTAGGTTTCTGCCTGGGGAAATATCAGTGTGAACTGAAATACACTTGCTGTTGAATCGATGGCCTGCACTCACTGACATCGCACAATCGGGTCAGGCCGTCCCTATATCGCCACAGCGGACGTAAAGCTGTTAAAACTAACACCCAACACTATATTTCTATACAATGAGATTCAGACTAATTGATTGGCTCTTCGTGGAAGATTGCTCATTATGCTTCTGATAAAATACACTAAACGCCAAAAGAAACGGTACCCTCCTACCTGTTTGAATTACTAAAAACTATCACAGATATTTAAGAAAGTAATAGTTCACATGAAAGCTTAACAACACAGCTTTATGCAAATCACGAAACAAAATTTTCAAAAGTATTATTTAGGTGAAATGCATCTTTTTCAGAAGAGTTAAATTGTCCTATATTCGCCATGACTCCATGCCGAAATATACCAATAACAGTGATTTTGATGTCAAAAAGAAAGACTGAAATAAAATTCTGCTTTGGGACAATGATAAACCATTTGAAGTCACCAACTATTAAAACAAAAAACAACTGTTGTAGAGTGTGTAAAAATTGTAAAATAATCATCCCTATGATTTCAGTCTTTTAAAACATTTTCTGCTGATTTGTATTAGTGAAAACAAGTAAAACGTGTCTTTGATATTGCGAAAAATTGTTTAGGAACATCTAAATTATCTTTGTTAACATTTTTGCTTGCAAAGTAACATTGTTCCATTTTCTTTTTACACATAGCAATATCAATCGCCAAAACGCAGCAATATTCAAGCAGTATTTGCATCCATTTCACATGTAGAATGATTCTATAGGGTATGAAGAGAGCCTAAAATACATGACATGTTACACAAGTACGAGAAATATGCCACGATTAACAGCTGAAGAGAGAGAAAGAGCCATTGGGATAGTGCAGATGGGGTCGACAGACAATGCTGTTGCCAACGCCCTCGGATGCCACCGTATCACGGTTATAAGACTTATTCTGGGCTTCAGACAGACTGGAGTCACCGTAGACAGACAAAGAAGTGGACGTCCACGCATCACAACGCCAGCTGAAGATAGGTACCTCCGTCATTAAGGAAGGAGGGTAACGTTTCTTTTGGCGTTCAGTGTACTCAATACAATGATATACTTACAGTTGTAAGTGATGTTAGTCCCATGTTCGTCAGATGGAATGGTGCACACACGTAATCGTTTTAAATTTGTGTTGCTTAAAAAAAAAAAAATTATACATACTGCCATGGAAAGGAAATTAAAGGCAGAATGTACGCCTGCTGTGATAGGTGACACTGACAATTAAAGGTCCAACGTAAGTCAACATTTCGTTTGCCTACTGATCTGGGGGAATTAGGGGACTGAATGCTGCCAGTCGCCACAGGGTGTCTTGAGGCTGGAGAGTCCTTGTCTACAGTTGCTCCTCATTTCAACGTATGACACAGTAATTCATCGTGAACCACAGCACTTCAACGTGCAACATAGCAGCGTAGTTATTTAAAGGATCGGTATAACCTCTCAATTCAAGCCGCCAAGATTGTCCATGTTCATCTTCGAAATGTTTCTGCCTCCGAGACTTCAGGACATGTTCCTTGTTTGAGAAGGATATAGGGCCAGACAATCAGGAACCGTCAGCGGGGTGAGTGAGTTAGACCCAGAAAACCAGCAGTTCTCCGTACAAGCAGAATATAACTTGACGTGGGTCTGGATCCGTTGTCAATCACGACTTCCTCTCCAACGTCGTCGTTGTACACGACAGGTCGACAGGTTAGGTGGCGAAAATGTGATGGTATGGGAGACACAGACACAGACACACACGCAGCCACAGACACAGACACACACAGACACACGCACGCACGCACGCACGCACACACGGAGATCTGGCTAGTATGAAACACCGGATCGACCAATAATTAATATATATAAGATAGATAGATAAATTTATTGTTAGATGGATGGATTTCACACTTATATTGACAATTAATATTTTTAATGCTATAGTTTTCAATATATCATTATTTAAACAACCTTGACAGTTATATTAACAGAGCATTTACGAAATAAATAACATTCAACCTGGCACGGATATGACCAAGTTGTGACTTAGGTTTCGCTGGCTTGCAGGACACGTGTGATTGTCCGTCAGAAACCTAGCTCACCCCTATTTTAGTGTGTGTGTCTGCCAGCGCCATATCAGTCCTTGCTGTTTCTACAAAAGTAACACACGTCCTGCATCAATTTGTGCTTTCATTTCGCATCAAACAAAAACGCTGCGATGCAACTCGAACCGGTATTCACACTCATCCACCTTCTCATTGTCTCTATGTCCTGGAGTAATACAACAGGCGTGAGGAATATAGACAAAATCTTTGTCCTCATCTTATTCTGATACCATCCCCGAGTAAATAGGCCATGACCCAGGAGCTGAACATCGGGCGGTGGGTAGTCTGTTGGCGACAGTGTTAGCCCGTCACGTCACAAATGTGGTTTCGATACCACGGTACAACGTGTAAGCCCATTCCTGGTATTTCTACTTGCGTGAATGTTGAAATAATACTAAAAGCGGCACAAAACCGGCATATCTCGGTGACTCACTCACTCAACAATATCTGCTGGTAGGAACAGCAAGATTTATGGATGTCAACTTCAACAGGTGATGAAGGAGCGAGAATACGTCGTGTTATTTACAATAAAGAAGTTGACAACCATAAACAGTGTTTTCTTATGCATTCCACTTCTAAATGCTCTTCAAGGATTAGATCTCATGGTTGGTTTATTGTAACGTGCATTTGAAACTTAGTGGTAGGACGGAGCAAGCCTTGTCTGCAATCGGTGTAGAAAAGCAAATACCAGTGTGACGTGAGGTTATCAAACACTTTGACAAACGAGGTGTTCCCATGCCAATCTGATAACACAGGCGGCACAGTGTACAGCTTATCAAACAATTCCCCAGCCACGCACCCCTGTACCGGACGTATTGTTGTGGCCCGTGACAACACTTGCTGCCGCACCACTGTACAGGTACAACAGATTCTATCACTGCACTTGGGAAAATGTTTTGTTTTCTTAAACTGTTTGGAATTTAAACATTTTCGTTATAAAATCATGTTTTGTCTTGTTGAACCATGCTACTGATAGCCGTATCATTAGGGTGCCCTAGTTGCAGCATGGTGTATATGCTGTGGTTGTATATGTTTTAAGTATTCAGGTACGGGTGCCGTGGATAAGGACTTGACTGACGTCTGTGACACCAGTCTGAACCAAGCAGGCCTCAGACAGACCAGATTGTGTTCCTACAAGCAGACAACTTTCCTCAGACAGACCAGACTGTGTTCCCACAAGCAGACAACTTTCCTCAGACAGACCAGACTGTGTTCCCACAAGCAGACAACATGGGTGGCTGTACGTCTGTTGGACGACTCGTCCTCGTCATCTTGAATATAATATTTCTGGTGAGTATGAGACGATACTATAACAATATGTCATGTGTATCGGTTGTCATGGGTTTCTAGGCTGGATTGGTAGCACGTGTTGCCGGCCACCTCCAGCACGCACTGCCCAGTCAGTGACGTCATTGTTCAAGATGTATCAGGTGAACATTCGGAGTTTACCGTGGTCACTCTACACTGACCACTATACTCATCACCAATAAAAACGAACCAAGCGAGAGACCAATACAGCTTCACGAGCCAGGGGTAACCGTTGCAACAACAAGCGATTTTGACAGAATCGTCTATGAAAACAAGTTGTAACTCGGAAGCTTGGCAAAGCCGGTGACAAGATTAAATGACAGAATAGATTGTGAAAACATAAAGCTTTCTTTATTTTACAACAGTTGTCACGATTTTAGGTTTAGACAAACCTGTAAACAAGATAATTTACCCCCGGAAATGTACATGAATTCTACAGTGCCCCTCATATCAATACCTCACATTCGGTGACGGTGACGCGCCCCTCTGATTGGTTGAAATTTCGTTCGCGGGAGAGAATTGTGCAGTGTTGTCAAAAAGGTCGATTTAAGTTACTTAAGGTTCGAAATGAGTAGTTTTAATGACGGGGTTTGATTTATAACGATGTTATTAAATGCTTTATGCATTTGTACCCCCCTAGAGTATATGTGATCTTTAAGTAGGTCATCAGTGGTATACTCGCACAGACAACTGTGTAGATACACTTCCAAATATTCAGAAATTGTTTTCACATGTTGAATTTCTAACATTAAAAAAAATATATTTAGCTTTGTGGGCTTCATTTTCTACCTCAAGCAAGAATTCTTGATCAGTCTGTATTCTCAGATCGGTATTTGGATCGGTTTGGTTTATATCTTTGTTATAAATGCGTTGTTTACTTTATAACGTATTGTATGAACAGAGCGGGTGGCGGTGTCCTTGTTGAGTTCATGATGGCGGGAGTGCCGCTGTATAAACAGAGCGGGTGGCGGTGTCCTTGTTGAGTTCATGATGGCGGGTTCAAGTGCCGCATAAACAGAGCGGGTGGCGGTGCTTGTTGAGGAGTGCCGCTGTATAAACAGAGCGGGTGGCGGTGTCCTTGTTGAGTTCATCATGGCAGGAGTGCCGCTGTATAAACAGAGCGGGTGGCGGTGTCCTTGTTGAGTTCATGATGGCGGGAGTGCCGCTGTATAAACAGAGCGGGTGGCGGTGTCCTTGTTGAGTTCATGATGGCGGGAGTGCCGCTGTATAAACAGAGCGGGTGGCGGTGTCCTTGTTGAGTTCATGATGGCTTGTTGAGGGAGTGCCGCTGTATAAACAGAGCGGGTGGCGGTGTCCTTGTTGAGTGCCATGATGGAGTTCATGGAGTGCCGCTGTATAAACAGAGCGGGTGGCGGTGTCCTTGTTGAGTTCATGATGGCGGGAGTGCCGCTGTATAAACAGAGCGGGTGGCGGTGTCCTTGTTGAGTTCATGATGGCGGGAGTGCCGCTGTATAAACAGAGCGGGTGGCGGTGTCCTTGTTGAGTTCATGATGGCGGGAGTGCCGCTGTATAAACAGAGCGGGTGGCGGTGTCCTTGTTGAGTTCATGATGGCGGGAGTGCCGCTGTATAAACAGAGCGGGTGGCGGTGTCCTTGTTGAGTTCATGATGGCGGGAGTGCCGCTGTATAAACAGAGCGGGTGGCGGTGTCCGCTGTTAAACAGAGCGGGTGGCGGTGTCATGTTGAGTTCATGATGGCAGGAGTGCCGCTGTATAAACAGAGCGGGTGGCGGTGTCCTTGTTGAGTTCATGATGGCGGGAGTGCCGCTGTATAAACAGAGCGGGTGGCGGTGTCCTTGTTGAGTTCATGATGGCGGGAGTGCCGCTGTATAAACAGAGCGGGTGGCGGTGTCCTTGTTGAGTTCATCATGGCGGGAGGGCCGCTGTATAAACGAAATAACGTTTCACGTGTGATGTAAGTCTGGACACGGTTATACAATCAAATTTATCTAAATAGATCTAACCCCAGTACTGCACTCACTTGACTACGAGTTTATTATCTTATGTCCTGTGTAAGGGTGTAAAAACACATTCGTGATCCCTTGACTACGAGTTTATTATTTTATATCCTGTGTAAGGGTGTAAAAACACATTCGTGATCGCTTCGTGTTCTGTTTAGTGTGGACATGTTGTACTTCGTTATAAATCATCAGACAGAAAACAGTTTAAATTCTCTCCACATGAGAAGCTGATCAAATTATAACATTCAAGATATGTTAAATAACATCTGCTAACGTTTAAGCTAAAATGATAACTGGAATCAGTCTGTAGAAGCACTAGGTGTGGAACCAACAAACAATAAAACATGTTCTGTAATTAACAGTTGTGTTCTAAAATCAAAATGAATACAAAGTGGAAGTTGCGATGGCTGAGCGGGTTATGCGGCTGACTGTGTGTGCTGGCGATTAGGAGCTTGACTCTGAGGGCGAGGGTTCGAATCCAGGATGGGACTCAGCCCAACAAAAGTATTAGAGAAAGTGTTATCCCAAATATAACATATGTTACTATTTAATAAAATCAGATACATGGTTGTGTCTGTTCTGTACGCTAGCTGTTCTTGTACCTGTTCCTGAAATGAGTGACAAACATGTTAGTGCTGTTCAAACTGCAGGTGTAATTTTGGTACACTGTTTTGATCTGTTTTCACGTATTTTGGAGGTGAAAAGGAAATGTACAGCAAATGATGGGTCACGTGCTCACACATGGATGCGCGTGCTTCTCGGTGTGCATCACGTGTATCTGTCATAGTCAGTCAGTCTTCAAGTTCAGTTTGGGTTCAAAAAATCGTACTGCATATTCCATGAGCTATGATAATAGGACGATGCGTTTCTAATGGAGTTCAGTATGTTTATCAATCTTTGATGTGGTCAACGAACATGATATAAATGCATATTGAAACCAACCGAACCGATCATATTGCATTCTGGGTAAATTTACAATCTCCCTTTAACTTCTACACGGGGTATTTAGAAGCTGCTATGATGAAGAGGAACACATTTTATGGACTGAAAACATCAAGTCAAGTCACATGCTTGACACCGGTTTTAGTACCTACGCTGAAACGTCAAATATAGACTACTTGTTCTGTGTACAGTGTAGTAGTTTGTGTACCTGAGGACTCCCACCTAGCTCACCTTATCCCTCACTGCCATCGACCCGTGAACATCCGGGTTAGAATTGATCTTCAGTAACCAATGCTTGTCGTAAGAGGCGACTAACAGGACCGGGTGGTCAGGCTCGCTGAGTTGGTTGACAAATCGTATCCCAACTAAACAGATCGATGCTCATGTTGTTGATCACTGCATTGTCTGGTCCAGATGCGGTTATTTCCAGACCGCCGCCATATAACTGGAATATTGCTGTGTAAAACTAAACTCGCTCACTCACTCACTCACTCACTCACTCACTCACTCACTCACTCACTCACTCACTCACCTCACCGCCATCAACCCGTCCTACGTGGTCGGCCATGGACATAACAGTAAGGTGTGTTTCAGCTGATCTCCCTCGGGCTGCTGGCTGTGGGGGGCATACTGAAGTATATGCCAGGGACACTCATGGGCTTCCTGCTGGCTGGGGCACAGTCCGCTATACCTCCTTTACCAACAGCTTCCGGGGGCTCAACCCTACCTTCAATCATGATACCTGATACGCTGAGCTTTGTGCCCATGGTAGATGATGTTGCAACGGTGCTGCTGGCTCTGGGGGGCGTGCTGTTTTGCATCTCCTTCCTGGCGTGCTGTGGCGCGTGTTATAAATGGAGGCCATTACTTATCCTGGTAAGTCCTGCACATAGGTAGAATAAATACAACAGTACAATACTGCCAAAACCGGAGGGAAAGGTATTTGAGCACCGTTTATTTAGGACTGTACCATACCTGTAAGTCTCACCTTGCGCGACACATGTACTCAATTCAGCATTAGCACCTTTATTTCCATTCTTGAATTAAATATCTGTATTCACGCCCTGTGTTTAGACCTTTATTTAAAACATTCCTTAGACATTTTCAAGCCTATAGTCTCACAATAATTCAAACTTGTTACATAGATCGTTATTCAGAACTGTATTCTCTCCGGTATTTACATTTGTAAACTCTCCAATAGTCCCACCTGCATGTACACCTGTATTCACACCTGTATTCACACCTGTACTCACACAATATACCTTACGGTTACAGTTTGCTATTGTGATGGTTCTCCTCATCCTGGGCATAGCGGTCGTCGGCGCCCTGTTTCTCGTCAAGGATTCTGTGGTAAGACACCATCTGTACAAAAACTGTTATATGTTACTATTTACACTAAGTACATGCGCACTTACATACACTTACTGAAGCTACACGTAGCACATACGCTTTTCCAACATACACACTTGCAACACGTGCACTTACTGCACACACACCACAACTCTTACCAGACAAACATTTACCGCACATACTTACCACACGCACATACCACACACACTTGCTACACACACATACCACACACACACTCTTACTACACAAACATACCACACACACACTTACTCGTACACAAACACACACCGCACAAAACCTTACCACGCACACATACCACACACACACTCTTACTACGCACACACACTGACCACACGCACACACTTAAAGACTTAATACAACACTTTACCCTTTCCACATATACACATACAAACACACACACACACACACACGTATACACTACATCCTTATCCCCACACACTGTAGTGTTGTATTCTGATATCTACCATGATCCGTGTCCGCCATTGTCTTTGTCCAGCTCCATGACACCATCCGCAGCAGTCTGGCGGAGAAAACGGAGGAGGAATATGAAAAAAACCAGAATGGGCCTTTCATACAGATCACTAATGTCCTTGCCCTTCAGGTAATGTACAGAAATCTAAGACGGATCCTTGTGCTGTTGTCTAGGTTGTACAGAACATTCAACTTCCCCGTATTTGAATTTTCCGTTTACCAATTTCACTGGCTGCGCTACAAAACAAACCCACCATAATGTTAACTTGGCAAAGTCAACATCACGGAGGCCAGGTCCACTGTCCAAATCCGGTTTCCGACTGGTTAAAGCACTGCAAACTGACTGGCATGCATAAACGCCTTCAAAACTCAAAATCGCCATGATGGAAGTGATGTCTCCATGTCCAGTGGTCTTTAGGAGGTACGAGTTACCTCCCTTTCCCTTAGACGACGAAGCAGGACCAGCAAAATTCCATAGAAAATATATAAGTTGGTCATCCTTATGTGTTTGATCATATAAGTTTTCAAAACTTGCAAATACAAAAAGACAAGAATTTGTGAGTTGTCTCAATATGGAACTATCATTAATCTGTAAATTTAAAGTTACAAGCGGCAAAAACAGGGCTTTTTTGTGCAATTACATGTCCTAGTTTTCGCGACTCTGACCAGCTAACGTGGGATCAAAATCTGTTGTTCGATAACTGACTACTTTTGAAAGGGATGTTTCCGGGCTGACTTTTACTTTGGCAAGAGTGCGTTTAGAAATAGGATCTTAAAATAGAACTTTGTAGGGTCATTCCTTGCCCGTACCCTCGACATTTGCCACATGTCGTGCACGTATTATGGTTATTTTCGGAAACATTTGAGTGACTAATGCATATATAAAATCAATATTGTGACAACACATGTGTGTTTTGTGGATTTGCCATTTTCAAAAGACACATTCTTACCAAGCTGAATCGGACCACGCAGAAACCTTCTTTGCAAATGCATATCTTTCGATAAAAGAACTAAGGCATACAATTATGTCTGATAAAATAAATGTCTCGGAGTTTATAATCTATATAAAGAAAGGAGCCATACCTTCGTGACGTGTGGTACGATCGGTCTAAATAGCTTCTCAGGTTAATAGCATACATGACACATACACAAGACCCCTTCCCAACATCTTAACTCCAGTTAAAGTTTAGACTCACCAATGTACATGTAGCCACTTACTTCATTCAACTGTTCTGTGCTAGATTTTGCAAAATATTCCATCCTGTTTAAAGGTACTGTTTACACATGAACTGATGTACTATAAAACAAATTCGTAACGTTGAAGAGATTATTGTCATGAGTTCAATAAATGATGAAACTCCGTAAAAATTGATGAATTCTTGACAAAACATCACACAAAAACGCAGTCGTTCACATACTCGATATTTGCACATGCTTTCCAGCAAATTTGATGCATGATCCTCGTGCAATTCATCTGCATAAGGTTTGCAGTTGGTTCCCCCAAGGTATATATATATATATATATTTATATATTTATATATATATATATATATATATATATATATATATATATATATATATATATATATAACACACATATAGTGAGTGCTTTAAGTGAGTCTTTTGATGGGTAGTATATAATCTGTGATTAACAGATGAAATGCTGTGGATTCACGGGACCGTCGGACTTTGTCAAGAACCTGACTACAGACTTTAAGGATGTTCCTGTGGCTTGCTGTGAGGACATGAAGCAGACGTGTCTAGATACAACTCGCAGGAATCTAACTGATATCGAAACAACGGTGAGTGTAAGAGTATGAGCGTGCACTTGTCACTATGGGTTGTTATTTAGTGTCGTTTAATTCTGTTGAATTTCGAGACGTTTTGCTGAGCAAGACACGACTCTTGATTCCACCTGGCCCAGTCTGAGCAAGGGACTCTCTTATATAAGGGACTATACACAAGATCGTACTTAGAGATCCTATATTCCTCCAACAACTCCTTGTGCCCACATTTCGAGATGATGATTAGTTCTGGCTAAAATATTCGATGAACGAAATATTGTCGATAGGAAAATTTATTAACAATTATCGATATGAGAATTAGTTTTTAGTGATAGAAAGCTTTTATTTAGGACTACATTATGTTCAGAACTCTGTTTTGTTAATAATCTATCCCCCCAAAAATATGCTATCACTCACTTGTAATGTGAAAAATAATAATTTCTTTCAGACACTATTTTTGTTCAAAGTCTCCTATATAGAGATAATAGATCGATATATAGTTAACGATTATCGATCTGTATGATCTATATAGGTAGCCAGCCCTAGAGAAAATACAGTATCACAGTCTATACAGCAACACAAAACCTCAAGAGATATACTGACATTGACCTATTGTTTGTCCGCTGTGCAGGGCTGCTACGACAAACTACAAGACATGATCGAGGACTCTAAAACATATGCCATAGTTGGCCTTGTCGGTGTACTCTTGCTGCTGGTGAGTATAGGAGACACATGGACCTTAGTTGGCCTTGTCGGTATACTCTTGCTGCTGGTGAGTATAGGAGACACATGGACCTTAGTTGGGCTTGTCGGTATACTTTTGCTGCTGGTGAGTATAGGAGACACATGGACCTTAGTTGGCCTTGTCGGTATACTCTTGCTGCTGGTGAGTATAGGAGACACATGGACCTTAGTTGGGCTTGTCGGTATACTCTTGCTGCTGGTGAGTCTAGGAGACACATGGACCTTAGTTGGCCTTGTCGGTATACTCTTGCTGCCGGTGAGTATAGGAGACACATGGACCTTAGTTGGACTTGTCGGTATACTTTTGCTGCTGGTGAATATAGGAGACACATGGACCATAGTTGGCCTTGTCGGTATACTCTTGCTGCTGGTGAGTATAGGAGACACATGGGCCATAGTTGGCCTTGTCGGTGTACTCTTGCTGCTGGTGAGTATAGGAGACACGTGGGTCATAGTTGGCCTTGTCGGTGTACCCTTGCTGCTGGTGAGTATAGGAGACACATGGGTCATAGTTGGCCTTGTCGGTATACTCTTGCTGCTAGAGAGTATAGGAGACACATGGGCCATAGTTGGCCTTGTCGGTGTACCCTTGCTGCTGGTGAGTATAGGAGACACATGGACCATAGTTGGACTTGTCGGTATACTCTTGCTGCTAGAGAGTATAGGAGACACATGGGTCATAGTTGGCCTTGTCGGTATACTCTTGCTGCTGGTGAGTATAGGAGACACATGGGTCATAGTTGGCCTTGTCGGTATACTCTTGCTGCTGGTGAGTATAGGAGACACGTGGGTCATAGTTCGCCTTGTCGGTATACTCTTGCTGCTGGTGAGTATAGGAGACACATAGGTCATAGTTGGCCTTGTCGGTGTACTCTTGCTGCTGGTGAGTATAGGAGACACATGGGTCATAGTTGGCCTTGTCGGTGTACTCTTGCTGCTGGTGAGTATGGGAGACACGTGGGTCATAGTTGGCCTTGTCGGTGTACTCTTGCTGCCGGTGAGTATAGGGGACACATGGACCTTAGTTGGACTTGTCGGTATACTTTTGCTGCTGGTGAATATAGGAGACACATGGACCATAGTTGGCCTTGTCGGTATACTCTTGCTGCTGGTGAGTATAGGAGACACATGGGCCATAGTTGGCCTTGTCGGTGTACTCTTGCTGCTGGTGAGTATAGGAGACACGTGGGTCATAGTTGGCCTTGTCGGTGTACCCTTGCTGCTGGTGAGTATAGGAGACACATGGGTCATAGTTGGCCTTGTCGGTATACTCTTGCTGCTAGAGAGTATAGGAGACACATGGGTCATAGTTGGCCTTGTCGGTATACTCTTGCTGCTGGTGAGTATAGGAGACACATGGGTCATAGTTGGCCTTGTCGGTATACTCTTGCTGCTGGTGAGTATAGGAGACACGTGGGTCATAGTTCGCCTTGTCGGTATACTCTTGCTGCTGGTGAGTATAGGAGACACATAGGTCATAGTTGGCCTTGTCGGTGTACTCTTGCTGCTGGTGAGTATAGGAGACACATGGGTCATAGTTGGCCTTGTCGGTGTACTCTTGCTGCTGGTGAGTATAGGAGACACGTGGGTCATAGTTGGCCTTGTCGGTGTACTCTTGCTGCTGGTGAGTATAGGAGACACATGGACCATAGTTGGACTTGTCGGTATACTCTTGCTGCTAGAGAGTATAGGAGACACATGGGCCATAGTTGGCCTTGTCGGTATACTCTTGCTGCTGGTGAGTATAGGAGACACATGGGTCATAGTTGGCCTTGTCGGTATACTCTTGCTGCTGGTGAGTATAGGAGACACATGGACCTTCGTTGGCTTTGTCGGTATACTCTTGCTGCTGGTGAGTATAGGAGACACATGGACCATAGTTGGACTTGTTGGTCTACTCTGGGTGCTGGAGAGTATCGGAGACACATGGACCATAGTTGGCCTTGTCGGTGTACTCTTGCTGCTGGTGAGTATAGGAGACACATGGACCATAGTTGGACTTGTCGGTGTACTCTTGCTGCTGGTGAGTATAGGAGACACATGGGTCATAGTTGGCCTTGTCGGTATACTCTTCCTGCTGGTGAGTATAGGAGACACATTGGCCACAGTTGGCCTTGTCAGTGTACTCTTGCTGCTGGTGAGTATAGGAGACACATGGGTCATAGTCGGCCTTGTCGGTATACTCTTGCTGCTGGTGAGTATAGGAGACACATTGGTCACAGTTGGCCTTGTCGGTGTACTCTTGCTGCTGGTGAGTATAGGAGACACATGGGCCATAGTTGGCCTTGTCGGTGTACTCTTGCTGCTGGTGAGTATAGGAGACACATGGACCATAGTTGGACTTGTCGGTATACTCTTGCTGCTGGTGAGTATAGGAGACACATGGGTCATAGTTGGACTTGTCGGTATACTCTTGCTGCTAGAGAGTATAGGAGACACATGGGTCATAGTTGGCCTTGTCGGTATACTCTTGCTGCTGGTGAGTATAGGCGACACATGGGTCATAGTTGGCCTTGTCGGTGTACCCTTCCTGCTGGTGAGTATAGGAGACACGTTGGCCATAGTTGGCCTTGTCGGTGTACTCTTGCTGCTGGTGAGTATAGGAGACACGTGGGTCATAGTTGGCCTTGTCGGTATACTCTTGCTGCTGGTGAGTATAGGCGACACATGGGTCATAGTTGGCCTTGTCGGTGTACTCTTGCTGCTGTTGAGTATAGGAGACACGTGGGTCATAGTTGGCCTTGTCGGTGTACTCTTGCTGCTGGTGAGTATAGGAGACACATGGACCATAGTTGGACTTGTCGGTATACTCTTTCTGCTAGAGAGTATAGGAGACACATGGGCCATAGTTGGCCTTGTCGGTATACTCTTGCTGCTGGTGAGTATAGGAGACACATGGGCCATAGTTGGCCTTGTCGGTATACTCTTGCTGCTGGTGAGTATAGGAGACACGTGGGTCATAGTTGGCCTTGTCGGTATACTCTTGCTGCTGGTGAGTATAGGAGACACATGGGTCATAGTTGGCCTTGTCGGTGTACTCTTGCTGCTGGTGAGTATAGCAGACACATGGGTCATAGTTGGCCTTGTCGGTGTACTCTTGCTGCTGGTGAGTATAGGAGACACATGGACCATAGTTGGACTTGTCGGTATACTCTTGCTGCTAGAGAGTATAGGAGACACATGGGCCATAGTTGGCCTTGTCGGTATACTCTTGCTGCTGGTGAGTATAGGAGACACATGGGTCATAGTTGGCCTTGTCGGTATACTCTTGATGCTGGTGAGTATAGGAGACACATGGACCTTCGTTGGCTTTGTCGGTATACTCCTGCTGCTGGTGAGTATAGGAGACACATGGACCTTCGTTGGACTTGTCGGTGTACTCTGGCTTCTGGAGAGTATAGGAGACACATGGACCATAGTTGGCCTTGTCGGTGTACTCTTGCTGCTGGTGAGTATAGGAGACACATGGACCATAGTTGGACTTGTCGGTGTACACTTGCTGCTTGTGAGTATAGGAGACACATGGGTCATAGTTGGCCTTGTCGGTATACTCTTGCTGCTGGTGAGTATAGGAGACACATTGGCCACAGTTGGCCTTGTCAGTGTACTCTTGCTGCTGGTGAGTATAGGAGACACATGGGTCATAGTCGGCCTTGTCGGTGTACTCTTGCTGCTGGTGAGTATAGGCGACACATGGACCATAGTTGGCCTTGTCGGTGTACTCTTGCTGCTGGTGAGTATAGGAGACACATGGGTCATAGTTGGCCTTGTCGGTATACTCTTGCTGCTGGTGAGTATAGGAGACACATTGGCCACAGTTGGCCTTGTCAGTGTACTCTTGCTGCTGGTGAGTATAGGAGACACATGGGTCATAGTCGGCCTTGTCGGTATACTCTTGCTGCTGGTGAGTATAGGAGACACATGGGTCATAGTTGGCCTTGTCGGTGTACTCTTGCTGCTGGTGTGTATAGGAGACACATGGACCATAGTTGGCCTTGTCGGTGTACTCTTGCTGCTGGTGTGTATAGGAGACACATGGACCACAGTTGGCCTTGTCGGTATACTCTTGCTGCTGGTGAGTATAGGAGACACATGGGCCACAGTTGGCCTTGTCAGTGCACTCTTGCTGCTGGTGAGTATAGGAGACACATCGGCCACAGTTGGGCTTGTCAGTGCACTCTTGCTGCTGGTGAGTATAGGAAACACATGGGCCACAGTCGGCCTTGTCAGTGCACTCTTGCTGCTGGTGAGTATAGGAGACACAACGGCCACAGTTGGGCTTGTCAGTGCACTCTTGCTGCTGGTGAGTATAGGAGACACATCGGCCACAGTTGGCCTTGTCAGTGCACTCTTGCTGCTGGTGAGTATAGGAGACACATGGGCCACAGTTGGGCTTGTCAGTGCACTCTTGCTGCTGGTGAGTATAGGAGACACATCGGCCACAGTTGGGCTTGTCAGTGCACTCTTGCTGCTGGTGAGTATAGGAGACACATCGGCCACAGTTGGGCTTGTCGGTGTACTCTTGCTGCTGGTGAGTATAGGAGACACATGGGCCACAGTTGGCCTTGTCGGTATACTCTTGCTGCTGGTGAGTATAGGAGACACATGGACCATAGTTGGCCTTGTCGGTGTGGTCGGTGCTGCAAAACCTATTTGTATATTTGAAGGCAAGAAATATTTTTCAGTGATGTTTTAAAAGGTATTTTACACGTCTGAATCCTTAAGCAATGCCAGGTCAAGGAGGAGGTGACATTTCTTTATATTTTCATGAAGCAAAGTAATGTCGTGGCTCTGTACTGTAACAATGAGTGCGTCAGCTGCAACTAACGCTAGTTCTGTAACGCCATGTCAGTTTTACCTGGAGGAGCCCCAAGAGCAATGCAGGTCTCCGACGTTTACGGGTGTGTGGTACTATCAACAATCACAGACTCAGGAGACAGACAAACCAGAACCACATAGTAAACTGCTGGAGTCGAACCAGCTTTCATAGATCGTGAAGTGCCGCTGGGATAAAACTGAACTGAGAATCACGATAGATGTCAGTAATTTCCCAACCTGGGTATTTTTTATAGGCAAGGTACATGCCTCCATGTTTTTATTTTATCTCACACAGCTGATTGAAGTTGTCTTCGCAATCGTCATCGTCGTTGACATAGGCAGTAACAAGGTGGGCCAGTCCTAACACCCGGAAGTCAGGTAATAGACATAATGTTTATATTCAAATCACCATAGTTACAAGATCATCATTTAGTATGTAGACTATCACAGCTTGTTCTAAGAAACACCAAATCCAAAGACCTTTTCAATTCTCTCCTTAAAACTCACCTCTTCCGCTCAGCATCCCAGCATGCTTTGAGAATTGTGTGGGTATCTGTGCATAGATTTGGTTATTAGCGCCATCGAGACCCGTGAAGACCCGGGGGTTAGAATTGGTCTTTAGCAACCCATGCATGTCGTAAGAGGCGACTAACGGGATCGGGTGGCCAGGCTCGCTGACTTGGTTGACAAATGTCATCGTATCCCAATTGCGTAGATCGATGCTCATGTTGTTGATCACTGGATTGTCTGATCCAGACTCGATTATTTACAGACTGCCGCCATATATATGGAATATTGCTGAGTGCGGCGTAAAACTAAACTCAATCAATCACTCAAACCATAATATCGCCAGTGACCACCTGTCGAAGGATACTAGGCGCTTAAGATATAATTTATATCATTATTACAACCAACTTCCTCATTTAGTGGACAGTGTCACGGCTTAGTTCTTCCTTTACACTCAAAATACACTTTTCAGGATTCAAGGTACAGTCATCCTGATGCAGATTGTCTTCATAATTCAAGATCCGATCTTCATGATTCAAGATACATTCTACATGAATCAAGAACCAGGCTTCGTGATTCAAGATAAAGCCTTATGGTTTAATATATAGTCAATTTTATCTCAGGAATAGAAAGTGAAATCTGATAATAATTTCGAAATATGTATTCCTTTCCTGTGTGAACATTTTACTTGGTTCGCTACTTTTGCCGACAGCTATTTTTGCCGTTATCCGTCCAATACTTAAGGCTGACTGTGTGTGAACGTCCCACATGCTTCAAGAAAGCTTCCCATAACTTGAAGTTATCCGTCCAAAACTTAAGGCTGACTGTGCGTGAACGTGCTACGTGCTTCTAGAGAACTTACTATAAGTATTCCGTCCAATACTTAAGGCCGACTGTGTGAGAACGTGCTGCATGCTTCTAGAAAGCTCCCCATAACTTGAATTTGTCCGACCAATACTTAAGGCCGACTTTGTGAGAACGTGCTGCATGCTTTTAAAGTGCTTCACAGATTTTGCAGATATCCGTCCGATTTATGAGATTTGGGAAGTTTTCTCCTGCTGTTTGTTTTGTTACAACGGTCGCAGTGATTGTTTTCTTTCAATCAACATGTTTACTACCAGAGTCCCTGTTACCACATGAGACATACATCCAGGGGAAATGCTCGTGCGGTTGGAATAGATAAACTCATTGGTTACATTGATTCGGTAGTTACAAGAACACACTTCATTATAAAAGATATATATCCGAGATTGACAATAGTTGTAAAAGGGTGAAATATACATCTGGGGTTAATATTATAAATAGAAGAGGATTTGGTCGCAGTGATTTTACAAGCGTTTCAAAATTCAGTGTTTGTAAAGTCCTGTTTCGGCCACGTGTTCTGGGATTTCTTGGACACAAGTGATTATATTTAGTTTACGCCATCTGTGATTATACAGAGTACAATATCACCATGTTCTAAGCGACTGTTATATTCATGCTCAATGATGTACTTTATTGATGTCTTTGGTTGTACGACGTTACTGTTTTGCCATAATTATACCAATAAAATTTGCTTTGTTTTATCATTTTCTGTTCTTTTCTGGAAATATAATATTATTTTGTGTACGGTAGTATGTATGGACCCTTTGTGGAGTCCGGATTTTCTGGCAATACTATGTTGGACAAACTAAATAAACCATTTGCCCAAGCTCGACGGTAGTCAGGTAGTTACAGTGTTCACTTATTACACCGACAGACTGGGTTCGATACCCCACATTGGTGGGATGGTGGTGTAGCCTAATGGTTAAAGCGTTAGCTCGTCACGCCGAAGAGCCGAGTTCGATTCCCCACATGAGTACAATATGTCAAGCCCATTTCTGGTGTCCCCCGACGTGATATTGCTGGACAATTGCTAAAATCGGCATAAAACTAAACTCACTCACTCCACCATTGGTGCCATTTTGCTGGTGTTCCAAGATTGTTTAATGTGTCTTGATCATGAGTGAGTGAGGTAACACAACAGTCTGGTACTTGGCTCATAATATACTATAAACAAAAAGTATGGGAACACCCTAAAATTGGATACTCATATATAAACTTTAACGTAGTGAGGTCATTTATACACTAAGATAAAAGCAACTTTTTGTGTGCTTAATGGGGACTTTAAATCACATGCTGGAACATGCAATGAGGAAACTGATTCAATATTCTTTGAAATTTAGTGAAATAAGACATTGTCAAAAACAGTGAAAAACAAGAGTGCTGAACACACCAGCACCATGTTTGATTTAAACACCCATACACAGCAGCCTAGTGCGTGTGGAAGACAGGCTTCCCATGCAGCTTTTGGCAACGTTTGAATCAAACATGGTGCTGGTGGTGGAGTTCTCTTCTTAAAATGAGAAGGGTCATCATCCTGGACCTCCTCAACACCTCCTACTACCCTCCTTTACATACACTACCTTGAACATCTTGCCAATGGAGACTCAACACCTCCTACTACCCTCCTTTACACACATTACCTTGAACATCTTGCCAATGGAGACTCAACACCTCATACTACCCTCCTTTACACACATTACCTTGAACGTCTTGCCAATGGAGACTCAACACCTCATACTACCCTCCTTTACACACATTACCTTGAACATCTTGCCAATGGAGACTCAACACCTCCTACTACCCTCCTTTGCACACATTACCTTGAACGTCTTGCCAATGGAGACTCAACACCTCCTACTACCCTCCTTTACACACATTACCTTGAACGTCTTGCCAATGGAGACTCAACACCTCCTACTACCCCCTTTACACACATTACCTTGAACGTCTTGCCAATGGAGACTCAACACCTCCTACTACCCTCCTTTACACACATTACCTTGAACGTCTTACCAGTGGAGACTCAACACCTCCTACTACCCTCCTTTACACACATTACCTTGAACATCTTGCCAATGGAGACTCAACACCTCCTACTACCCTCCTTTACACACATTACCTTGAACATCTTGCCAATGGAGACTCAACACCTCCTACTACCCCCCTTTACACACATTACCTTGAACATCTTGCCAATGGAGACTCAACACCTCCTACTACCCTCCTTTACACACATTACCTTGAACGTCTTGCCAATGGAGACTCAACACCTCCTACTACCCTCCTTTACACACACTACCTTGAACATCTTGCCAATGGAGACTCAACACCTCCTACTACCCTCCTTTACACACATTACCTTGAACATCTTGCCAATGGAGACTCAACACCTCATACTACCCTCCTTTACACACATTACCTTGAACGTCTTGCCAATGGAGACTCAACACTGATTCACCTTGTAGGGTCCACCTTCAGCCACATTCGCATGTCCTTTGGACTTGACAAATGCACCAAGGATAGGAGAGGAAGGATCAGTCAGTATACATGGTGAACGTGTTTTGACTATCTCGTGGAGTGCTTGTTAGAGACAAATTCCAGAAACCCCATGGAAGGACAAACATCGGAACGTAAGCTGTGCCCATCCTCCCGGGCTCTGTGGGTGTTTCGACTTGACGAAACAAGAAATTAAGAGCATTAAGACCATCACAAGAAGAATCGTGTCCGCCCACATACAACTTCCCTGAATCGCTTATATTTGTAATGCCCGTGAAGATCCGATTTAGAATTGATCTTCAGTAACCCATGCTTGTCGTAAGAGGCATTCATTTTGTTCTCGTATGTTTATCAAAAATACATAGAATAATTTCAAATTATTTTGTTTTCATTTTAGGATGCAATCTACTTTTTACGTATAATTTCCAGGGGAAAATGGCCTGAGTCTTGGCGTTCACCAACTGTTAGGGAGATAACACAATTAAACCATCTGATGACAGATAAAGAAGTAATGTACAATGCATCCAATTCCCCGTAGACTATTGTCGCCTGACATATCACCATTCTCTCGACCATTTATTATAAACAAATTAAATGTGTAACACAAATCTAACAATGCTTGTACAAATCGGTTGGTGACCCTGTCACGTGTTCGACGGTCACCATCACAATATTTCACTACGGAGATGTAAATGGCCTAACCAGAACGCTGATGTTTATATCGAGTCCTCATCATCTGTGGAAACCAAATTGTACTGGAAATATGTTTGCTTCTGTATGCTGACGATGTTGCTTATCGCTAATCCGGAAACAGTGGTTGAACTACAGAGGAAAACAGATGATTTACAAATATGGTTTCAGTGTCCATCTCGACAAAACTGATGTTTTAATAATCAGAAATGGAGGCAACTTAAGAAATTTGACAAGCTGTTTTGGAGTTTACTTCCCGAGTGCATATAACTGATTCAAACATGACGTCATTGCTCAGTTACAGTAAAATCATCACCTTACAAATTTCCAAAACATGATCAGCCAGAAAGTGTTTGGTATTAAAGCCACTTGGTCAGAGTAAAATATCAGTATCTGGTGTGGCCACCATGAGCATCGATAACAGCTTGGCAGAGGTGACCCATAGAAGAAAGGAGATGCCGAATGCTGTGTTGAGGAATGTTTTGATACTCTTGCTGAAGTGCTGCGTGCAGTTCTTGTAGTGTCTGAGGTGGCGGTTTCCGCTGGCGCAAGCGTCGATCAAGAGTATCCCATAGATGTTCAAGGGGCGACAAATCCGGTGATCGAGGAGGCCAAGGTAACAACTGAACATTGTTTTGCTGGATGAAGACCTGTCAAAGACGTGAAACGTGAGGTCGAGCATTGTCATGCTCCAAAGATCACGTTGATGTAGGTAACGATGGGACGTTGAACTGGTCTTCTGGCAAAACGTCTGGCTTTCCATAGTCAACTGTGCACTGTCTGGTCGGAGATTCGAGCAGTCCAGGGATTTGGATTGTTGTGGATGATGCGGCCGTGGTGTTTGAACGAAAATGTCTCAACCGGATGTAGCGATCCTTGGCGGCGGTGGTAACTCCAGGTCGACCTGACCTGGGTCTGTCATTAACACTCCCAGTATTTTTGGGTCGGTCCATAGGTTTGAGATGTCTGTCTGGACACGCTGAAGTACCTTGCCACATCATGCTGCGATGCACGTCCTTGTAAACGGGCGATGGCGTTGTGTCGTTGAGCTTCTGTCAGTTTTTTCATTCTTTTGTTGTCTAGAGTGGCTTAAAGCAATGCATGTGGAGTACCACTGATGTGGCATTTTAAAGCCTACAGTCATAAGCTTCAGCTCAGGATGATACACAATTTCCTGATGCTCGTGCATTTCATGTAGGGTGCGATTCACTACAGACGTGAGTGTAAGTTTTTGTTAAACGTTTCTTTTTTCAAACGTTTTGTCGTCGGCAACCATTCCCCCACATGCTGGGATTCAGCATGGATTGGTTTGTGTCAAATATTTTCTTAAACTTCAAATTTGTCCTATGTCAAGTTTCATTTTCTGCAGAATATTTATATATAAACTAAATATGACATAACAGACAATATATATGACATCGTTGGGATTTTGTAAGGTTATAACAAATATCTGGATACGTAAGATATCATTAAAGTTTCTGTAGAAGATATATAAGATTGAAGGAATAAGGTTATTAAAGGAATAAGTGTGACTGTAGTGGATGGAGACTGGAAATATCAAATGATATTATAAGAGCGCTTCAAAGCTTAGTACATAATAAGGTAGACAAATGTTTCCTCTTCTTTATAAACTGATGAGTGAGCAAGTGAGTATTGTTTTACGCCGCCTTAAGCAATATTCCAGCAATATCACGGTGGGGGACACCAGAAATCGGCTTTACACAATGTTCCCATGTGGAGAATCGAGCCCGGGTCTTCAGCGTGACGAGCGAACGCCTTAACCACTTGGCTACCCCACCGCCCCCCATATATAAACAGATGAAGCTAGGGGATACACCTTGTAAGATGTCTACCTGTGATAGGTATTTAGGAATTGTGTTTTCAACTATACTAGCCACATAAAGAAACTGTGCATTGTCAAAATATTATCCCAGTTGATAAGTACGATAACAATGTCAAAGGTAAACTTTAATGGAGGGATCATGAGACCATAACAAGTCGGGAGAATTTCAATTGAAAAGTCAATCACAATGACGTCACGAGTCCACAAGCGGGACAGGGGTCAAACGACCATGTCACAAACTCAATAATGGGTATGTCCACCATCGACATTGAGAAAAGCAGTGCATGGACGACGCATAGAGCCTATCAAACGTGCAAGGAAGGCTTTAGGGATGTCACGCGAGATTCTCCCGAGGTCTGTAAGACGGCGCAGACGTCGATCCATCTCGTCCCAAACATGCTCTATCGGGGAGAGATCCGGTGAATTCGAATTTGCAGGCCAAGGCAGTAAGTCAACGTTGTGGTGTTGCAAGAAATCCATAGCAACCCTTGCCGTATGAGGGCGGGCATTGTCTGTGGTGGAATGTTAACCCAGGGCCATGACGTTGCAGAAAAGGAATTGCCACAGGTCAAAGAATCTGATATCCCTGTAGCCCACACCAGTAAAGTTGCCCTGAGTTATTTGTCGTGTTGTTATTCCACCCCAAATCATCACAGAACCACCACAACAGGCCTG